GCTGACGACTGATAGAATCTCATCACAAATCAACTTAGAGTTGAGTTTGTGATGGTCTTGCATTGGATTCGAGATTATACAGCTGTGGGACGGACCCATTGACCCTATCTTCCAGGAATCGCTTCTCTTCCTGAAAGATGCTGTTAATTTGAACGGGCACTCCTCGTTACGACAATAGATCATATACCGTGTTGGATTTGAGTGATCAACTCTGTAATCGGCTGACAATTCCATGTGAAACTGTTTGATAGCCTGGACACAATCTTGTTTCGTACGAAACTCGTTACCCTCTTTAAGTTGGCCCGGTGTTGTGTAGTTGGGGTTGTAGAAAACATCCGTTGCGGGTGCATAATCAACTAAGGTGATATCAGTCATGTGTTTTGGTGGACAATAGACATGGTCAGGTTGAACTTCATCCTCCGGATTGTTCACTATCTCGTCAACAATGACTTCAGTTGCTTCTTCTTCTTCGTCAACGACATTGACTTCGGGGTGTTCATCTTCAGAATCGCAAAAAACTTGTGACGAATCAAGTTGCTGAGACAATTGTTATTGTTGTAACGTAACGTATACCATGATTTCTGAGAACCCTGAATACTCGTGAGTGCGGAACATGTTACGCACGTCTTCATCATCTCGCACCTTTAAAGGAAAAAATTTGCACGAATAAAGTCCGCCAAAGAATACTGGGTTTTTGTATATTATTTGGCCAACTGGACCGCACTGCAGTTTTTTTTTCTATTCTTGACTTCAGGTGTAAAAAATTAGACCTTCTGTCAATTAAAAATCTTGTAACCTCCGTGTTTCTGAAAGTGTATCCCGAGACCTCACATTCGAAAGCTTCACCATTCATATGAGCGACAATCATGTGTTGTGGTGTTTGAGACATTGTGGAAATTATGGTGTTTGAATAATGGAGTGTTACAATGTTTTAGTGTTTTAGTGTGTTTGAGTCTTTGAGTGTGTTTGAGTCTTTGAGTGTGTTTGATAAAGGCTTTATATAATGGCCTTAGTGTTTCTGAATGTTTGAGTGTTTGATAAAGGCTTTATAAAATGGGCGTGGTGTTTTTGCTTGTATCAGTAAAGTTCTGCCTTTCATTTATCACGCATGCTCCATAATCAATAACGTGAACAGCAGACTTGATATGAAGTGACAATGCAAAGTTCTGCATTTACATGTGATGTCCAAGTCAGGAATCTCTGTCTGCCTTTCATTTATCACGCATGCTCCATAATCAATAACGTGAACAACAAAGTTGATATGAAGTGACAATGCAAAGTTCTGCATTTACATGTGATGTCCAAGTCAGGAATCTCTGTCTGCCTTTCATTTATCACACATGCTCCATAATCAATAACATGAATAACAGACTTGATATGAAGTGACAATGCAAAGTTCTGCAATTACTTGTGATGTTCATTTATCACGCATGCTCCATAATATGAACAAAGTATAATATGGAAAATAGTATAATATGAAAGAAATCACACTTTGACTTAAATATATTAAATATATTATATAATATGATGAAATAAATCACATTACGATGAATAAAAATATTATATAATATGATGAATAAAAAATCACACTATGCAATGAATGAACCACTGTATGATTAGACGCTACACTGAAGGAATCTCCTTTTTTCACATGTGATCTGCATCCCTACATTGACCATGCAAGCCTACGAGCATCTGCTTTCATACATTAGACGGGACATTGCATTACAATAAATGCCATGTAGCCTGTTTGATTAGACGCTACACTGAAGGAATCTCATTTTTTCACATGTGATCTGCATCATTTTACAAAAAAGACACTGCATTTACGCATAGCTGAAGCCAAGTGTCAACCATGCACTCACACCACATATGTCACGCCAAGTGCTCAGCATGCACCCACACAACACATATGTCACGCCAAGTGCTTAACATGCACCCACACAACACATATCTCATCACAAGTGCTCAGCATGCACTCACACAACACATATCTCTTCACAAGTGTCAAGCATGCATTTAAACCATATCCACTCTTGGAATATAAATATGGGGTATTTACCCATCAAATTCTACTCACACTTAAAGTCTCCTACTCTCTTACTCTCATACTCTCAAACTCGCAAACTCTCAAAGTCTGAAACTCTTAAACTTTCAAACTCCCAACTCTCGACAATGTCTGTACTAACCATGGGTGATTCTCATAGAGGGACGGCTGAAAACATCGCCGAGTTTGTAAGTCCTTTTGTTCATGTCTATGTTTTACCATTTTGTCCAAAAAAACTATAGTAATTTTGTCTAAAAAAACTATAGTAATTTTACTTCATTATTTTGCAGGATGTTTCAAGGTTTTGGTGTCGTGTGCATGATTACATACCACACGACCCCCTCATTACAAACTATCTTATACATTATGGGTTTGGGCATGTGATCGAAATCAAATCTTATTCCCTTGACACAAAATTTATTCTAGCGTTGTTAGAACGCTGGAGACCGGAGACACATACATTTCACCTTCCCTATGGTGAGTGTACTGTGACTCTCCATGACGTTTATATGTTGCTCGGCCTACACATTGATGGTAAGGCCGTCAACGACAAAGTTGGTGTCCCTGACCGACTTTGTGAAGATTTATTGGGCGCCCCTCTTTGTGAGGACGGACCTCAGGCGGCAAGCAAGGGCCGCTGAGGGGTCAGGGTATTAGCTTAAAATACCTGAGAGAACAATACAACGGTATTGTTTTAACGAATGAGAGCACCGAGTATGAGAAAATACTCAAAACTCGGTGCTATATTATGATTTTATTTGGGCAGTTTTTATTTCCAGACGACACTGGAAATACAATTCATACTATATATTTACCATTATTGCGTAATATCAACAAAGTGTGTGAATATAGCTGGGGATCAGCAGTCCTCGCCCATCTATATAGCGCACTTTGTAAGACGTCCAAAAAAAATTCTTGTACTTTTTTTGGCTGTGCCTATCTTTTGCAAGCTTGGGGTTGGTCGAGGATGCCAATGCTTGCTCCAATAAACAGAAATTCTTTTACGTTCCCCTACGCAAAAAAGTAAGTATCTTTTCAACATTATTTAGCATCTACGTATTCTATTTCAGTTAATAATTTCTAACTTGTGTTTATTTTTTTAGGTGGTCTGTACCCGGGATGAATTATGAGAAATGTCCAAGGCACTCTATAATTCAATACCGCAACCTAATCGACCACCTTGGGCCAAACGATGTAAGCTATTTACCCTAATTTTTTTTAATGTATATGCATAAACTTCACACATCCTGTCTAACTTAATTTTACAACTATATTGTAGTTTGTCTGGATGCCGTACGAGGGTCTCGACCACCAGCCCAACCCCGACGATGCCGCTGTGTGGACAGCAAAGACACCTATAATTAGGTTCACTACGGTGGAGATGCACCAAAGTGATCGGGTGAAACTCCAATTTGGGATGCGTCAAGATATTCCAGATGCTCCCGTAGACTTGGGGAAGTGGCATCAAAAACGGGTAGACGCACAGTGGATGGTTGGTGATTGGAAGGAGTTTGCAAAGGAGCTGCGTGTACTTTGGAAAAGAAGAAGGCAATACGTCTTACCCGACAGTATTGTGCACGGGGCTAGACCAAGTCTTCAATATATGACTTGGTTTAGTTCTGTCATTACAACCCAGCCTTTCCTGTCCCAGCCAACCTATTTGGCCGATCCAAGGGAACGCAGTTCTTCATCATACCCACAAATACCAACAGACACCCCCCATCAACAACAACCACCATACGGAGACCATCAACAATAACCACCATACGAAGACACCCCCCAATTCATGCCAACATATACCCTCTATCAACAACAACCACCTTACATGCCACCAATCCAATCCCAACCTCAACCATCTAACCAGTACAACCCTGATATGTCTTTTGATCCTCCCCCTGCCACCTATATCCCGGACAACTCATTCGACCCTACCCCCTCCAACTACACCTCCAACCACCCACTATTTAACTACCACACCCCACAACAACCAACACACCTAGACCATCCCAACTCCATGTACACTTTCGGACAACCATACCGTCCATACTCCACCCACCCTCCCCGACAATCGTACCAAAACATGGGCATTGGCCTTGACTACGGAAATGCATGTGACATGGGACCTCCCGGCTATTGGGGTCAAATGATGCAAGATCTAGCTGATACGCCGGGGCCGTCCCAACAGAACCCTCCACCACAACTCAACACACAACATCCTGACACACCACAACAACCTCGTCGAAGACCTCGTCGCAACACGCGTCCCCCCCAATGTGGCACCGGTGGTCACTTGGATAGAGCCGATCATTAGGATTTTTTTTTTGTAATTTTCATTATATTTATATTTTTGTTCGTGTATTTTTAATTACATTATGAATTAATATAATTTCATTTTATTATCACTTTATGCTTACGAATATATTTTAATTATATTAATATTAATTAGATTATAAATTAATATATTTTATGGTTAATAATAATAATAATTAAAATCAAAAAATAATTAAATTTTAAGACTTTAAATATGAAAACGAAAATATATTATATGATAATTAAATTCAAACCCTAAAACACATACCTGATTCGCCAATTGCATGGGCGAAACCCACAAACAAAGCCCATTCGCCAAACCAAATGGCGAATCCCTTGGCAAGTGATTGGCCTAATTCGCCAAATCAATTGGCAAATGCGCGTTGAATGATTTCAAAACATTGCTATTTTGGTAATATTTTTGAAACTATCATTTCTTTGGTAAATAAAAATTATAACCTTGTTATTTTAAAAAAAAATTCGCAAAATCATATTAATTTACAAAAACTAATTAATAAAAGAAAAAAAAAAGAAAAAAAATTAATCTGAGGTGTAAGCGAGCGTATAAATCAAGCAACCCTTTTTGGTTCGTTCATCTTCCTTTTTCGGGGTTTTGAATTTCACAACTCAAACTACACTTTCCATGGCAGATACCTCAGTGCAGGTTCAACAACCAAGTCGATCAAGGGACCTCGATAAGCTCCTTCTCAGACCCGGCAATCTCGTCGGTCCAAGGTTCGAACCTGGCGCAGAGGTACTTTCTTCACTCTTTGGGTTTTCTTTTAGGGTTTTATAATGTAAATTTCATGATTCTGGCTCTCTTGTTGTTGCTGTTGTTGTTGTTGTTGTTGTAGTTGAGAAATGATCTTCAAGCTTTCGCCAAAGTGTTGGTGGTTGGGGCAGGTGGGTTAGGTTGCGAATTGTTGAAAGATTTAGCCTTAACTGGTTTTCGAAACCTTGAGGTTATTGATATGGATCGTATAGAAGTTACTAATCTTAATCGCCAATTTTTGTTCAGGTAAACCCCTTTTGCTTTGATTCTTGTTTTTGTGATGTGTGAGTGTTTGATTTGTAATATTTTTGGTTTGTTTTCTAGACTTGAGGATGTTGGGAAACCGAAAGCTGAGGTAGCTGCCAAGCGTGTAATGGAAAGGATCAGTGGTGTGGATATTGTGCCACATTTTTGCAGGATTGAGGATAAGGATATTGAGTTTTATAATGATTTTAGTATTATTGCACTTGGTCTTGATTCTATCGAGGCTCGGAGCTACATCAATAATGTTGCTTGTAGTTTTTTAGGTGTGTGTTGTATTCTTATATTGGCTCCGTTGATTTATTGTTTTGAGGAAAGGTGGTTTTTGTTTCAATTACGCGTGTTGTTATCATGTATTGATTGTTTTTAGATTGTATGAATAGTAATACAACTGCATTATAGTATTGTTTCCTCCTGGTCATTTGGCATAAAGATTTTTAAGTCCACACAAGTACATTTGTGGATGTTATATTATCGGACCTAGTATGTTATTTTTCATTTCCGTCCTATCGAGGTTTTCTGCAATGCAAGCTGCTTGTGCTAATTTTAGTTTCATTTATTTTGACTGATAAATCTAGAGTATGATTCTGATGACAATCCACAAGAAGAGACGATCAAACCTATGGTGGATGGCGGGACTGAAGGTTTCAAGGGCCATGCCAGGGTTATAATGCCAGGGATCACACCATGCTTTGAGTGTACCATATGGCTTTTTCCACCTCAAGTGAAGTTTCCTTTATGTACCCTGGCAGAAACCCCTAGAACTGCCGCCCACTGTATTGAATACGCTCACTTAATTAAATGGGATGAGGTAAATAATCACTCATCTTTTGGTTTATTTTGTAGCAATGCATATCTTTTAAACAAAGTCTGATGTATAGGTTCATCGTGGAGTTCCTTTTGACCCTGATAACCCCAAGAATATGAAGTGGGTCTATGATGAGGTAACTTCTACTTCATAATGAGTTTCTTACTCTTCAATATACATTTTTGGCCCATCAATAAGTTACAAGTTTCATTATTTACGTTTTGTAGGCTGTCAAAAGGGCCGAGCTTTTTGGCATTCCTGGAGTTACTTATTCTTTCACCCAGGTAATAGATGATTTGGGATGCTAGCTCTCCCAGGCAAAATTCCATTTTTTTTTAATGTAAAATGATGAATTCATAAAATTTGTTTGAATGTTTGTGCCACCTGTTGTTTTCCCTTGATAATCAATTACACTTTTCTTTTTGCTAAGCAATTAGTTGTTTTAATAGGGTGTTGTGAAGAACATCATACCAGCTATAGCTTCAACAAATGCAATTATATCAGCTGCATGTGCACTGGAAACATTGAAAATTGCAACAGAGTGCAGCAAAACTTTGTCAAACTATTTAACGTTTGTTCTTTATCTTTTATATTTCTTTGTATTTGGCTATTGACCTATAAGTATTATTAATTAGTTCACACTTCATGTAGGTATAATGGTTCAGAAGGCCTCCACACTAAGGTGACAGAATTTGAAAGGGACAGAGACTGCCTTGTCTGTGGTCCTGGTATACGTCTTGAACTGGACCCTTCAATCACATTGCAAAAGGTAAAATTTCAATCAGTGACTCATCAAATTCGTTTTACTAGTTAGGAGTGCATCAGATATCTATTCTGTCTTTAGGAGGTTCAAACATTTCTGATACAGCATATTGAAAATTTGAAATCATATTTCGTATTGTTTTGTTGCTAGCTAGCTATTTATAATTTAAAGCCTCACTGACCTTAAAATAACTAGATATTCATATTTACTTTCAGCATTTTCCAGCTCTTTGCTTGTTTTCATTCCCTAAGGCCTTCGTTAGCTGTCGTATTGCATTTAAAATTATTTCGAACTCAACACCTTTGGTCCTTTTCTTGTGTAGAATTTAAAAACACTCTCTGGGGAGATGTAGAACCGCTTAGTGTCAAATCTTGAATGTTTCATTGAGTTTATGTTCAACCCCTTTCCTTTTCCTTTTTGTTGTTGTTGATGGTTGTACAAGGAATTGCTAGAATGCTGAATAGGCAGTTGTTAGGACTGTAAGTTGAGTGAGTTAGCGTTAGATAGATTAGTTGTGCTGAGATTATTAGAGGTAGGCTGTGTTGTTGAAAAATAGAAAGAAGAGTATGCATGCATCATCTTTTATTAATGTAAAAGATATTTTGGCCAACTTTAATGGCAATAACTGTGTAATTATCCCTGATTTATGCTCTTTAGCAAACAAATGGCTGTGTGCGCGCGCTCTTCCTGTGTTCTATAACTTGAGCTTGGTCCTTTATGAGGCATTTGGAAGAGTTTATCTAGTCTCATCTTATGACATAGACACTAATGCAAGTGTTTGGAGTAGATTATGAAAATAATTTATGATATGCTCATAAGCTGCCTTTACATATTTTCACGAGCTCTCTTTAATAGGTTATAGAAATTTTTTATTCATACCTTATTGAGAATATGTTTTTCCTAACTAACTAATTAACTAACTGATCTAAATGATTCCAACTATTTAATGCCTTTCTATTATCCTAAGTGGTTGGAGAGTAGGTTTGAATCTTGGCTACAACAGCCTGAAAATGGTCAAATTCAAGAGCAGAGAGACTAAGATGGGTTTGAAGATAGATCCAAGCCAAAAGGGACAGTGTTGAAATAATTGTTGAAGATGATGGATGATGTTTTGGAAGTATTTAAGGGACATCTCCTAGGAATGAGGAACCAAACCAATACTTCAGGGGTTAGCCACTCAAAGAGAATATCTATAGGGAACGGTAAAGCATGCCCGACTCTGGGGACATACACATAGCCACATAGGAGTGTTTGTCTGTGGTAATGGTGGTTATGGAGGTAAATAGCTCTCGGTTCATAGAGCCATATGTGGGAGTGTCGCTACCCACATTTTGGGTTGATTTCAGAGCTGTAGTACAAAAGTTTAAACCTCCAATGATGCACAAACCCCTATGACTTTACTCTTGGGCGTGAAGCAAGTGACTCTTGTGGAGGAATATAGTGGGGGATTTGTTTTGAAAAGACATCATTATACTGTATTGTAATTTGTAACTCGAGGCAGGCACAAGGCACATGAAACAGATATGATTCAAATTGCAAACTAGCTTGGGAGGTTTTGTTAGATAACTCTACACATTTAGTTAGCATGTAGTAGCTAAGTTCATGAATCAGTAGTTAAGGAAAGTTTGACACTAAAAATAATAAGAGGGAAAAAGAGGAAAGCAGAAATTTCATCTGAGAGATAATCGAGGTCTTAGGGGTTTTAGAGGAACAGACCCTTGACGTTCTATAACATGTTTCTGTAATTTAGGGAGATATTCCTTCTACTCTTCGGAGCATAGTTCCTGTTTCAAACTATTGCTGAAAGGGTCCTTTTTATTTCATTGAGTATTTAATTTTTGTTGGTACAACATTGAATATTTATTTTCTTGTGAATGGTTGCCACCTATGATGTTTTTTGCATCTTGACTCTAAATCAACGAAATTGGTTCTTTGCATGTTGTGTGCTTTTTCCACAAATGAACTAACTTTCTTCCATTACAATTTTCTAGCAACTTAAGTCATGGGTGCCTATTTATTGTATTCCCTTCTGATGTGTTTTTAATCAATTATGAAACTTGTGCAGTTCATGGATCTTCTAGAAGAACATCCCAAATTGCAATTGTCGAAAGCTAGTGTTACACATCGAGGAAAGAATCTGTATATGCAAGCTCCACCTGTATTGGAAGAAATGACTCGATCGAACCTCTCTCTATCTCTTTTTAACCTCATGGGTAAATTGCCCAAAGACATTGTGCACGTGAATGGTATGACAAGCAAGAATGACCAAAATACCTCATGTTTGAGAAAATTGCGCGTTGTCTTCAAAGAAGTTGACGGAGTTACAGATATGGATACAGCTGGAGGAGCATAACTGAATATTTTCTGGCTTTGCAAGCATTAGTTAATGTTAGATATCACAGCTTGTTTCCAATATTAGTGAGGCAAGATTATCAATTTTTACAATGTAAACGTTTTCATGGATGGTTATCAAATGACATCTGATGCCGCTGCCGATTTGGCAAAATTCCATTGTTATGTGCAGTTTGATTGATGGAGCACATGGATATGTCATATGGAATCATGATTCTGAAATAATTCTCACTGCACTTTGTTGATTAAACAAAATATTAATTAAAAAAAAATATATTCGATGGAGATGGATTATAAGTCTAAGTTTGTGCTAGAGAAATATGTTGTGTATTGGTTATGATTTAGCAATGAATGATTAAAAAATTAAGCCTAATTTTGGGTCAGAACTATTGTTTATGATTTAGCAAAAAATTAAACAAAATTAAAACTCATCTTGGTTTAATTAAAGGTCACACTATTTATTAATAGTAGTGTTATTTGAAATGTTAGTTTTAAGTAACTCCTTACACTGTACAATTCTCATGTGCAGTGTAGATATCATTTAAGATCCATGGGACACTAAATCGAAGATAAGTGCAACACATGATTGATAAAGGGTACATATCCTTTTTAGAAGAAAGTTTGGTTGTCCATGTCAATCTATCATTTATTTGAACTTGAAGATTTCAAAGGTCATTTTCTATCTAAAGTCAGTGGTCCAGACAGAAAGACATTTGCAACATTGGCAGTCCTTGGACACTTTTATCATTTGCATTTGTAGTTTATATCTTGTTAATTGCTACTTATTTTTAAACATTGTTGTTTTGAATGGTAATATTAATAAAGTGATTATGTATTTTTTGAATTGATCATGTCGCATTCGCTCATTTTTATCATTTATTACAAAGCACAGACACATACTTCTTATTCACTTCACTTTATCACTGTTGTTTTAGTAAAGATTGGAGAGAGGATGACGAAAACTGAATACCCATAATTGCTTATTGTATGCTTTCGGATAAAATTCGGTTGATGATGTACATGCATTGTCAACCCTAAACACCAGAGAGACAAGGAGTTAGTCCCTAGTTAGCCATTTCGAACCTAGAAGTAGGAGTTTTCTTCGGACTTTCAAACCCTCACATCTTAACCTGGGGCAGGGTAGTCGTCCATTAATTTGACCGAGCGTTCAAATTTCATAGAGGAGTATCCCTGCTCGAGGATCAATCACACCCCATCCCTCTCAAGAGGTCATACCTCAACAACCACAATGGTTATACCTCACCAATCAGAAGTGAAACAGTCAATACCCTTTCAGAGAAATCAAGACAACCAGTGTTACACAACTTTTTTCAAAGAGAAAAAGAAGAAAAAAAAGAGAAAGAAAGTCCACTAAGTCGAAAAACTTGAAAGTAAGTGACTTAAGCAAAAATTAGGTCATCCCGCTGGACTTCAAAATCGAAAAAATTTTTAAAAAAAAATCAGTCCATGAAAAAATTAGAGAAGAAAAAGAATTAAAAAAAAGGATCACAAAAGATAAATCATTAACAAAGTCGTGTGACTACAGATACAAAAGATAAGATGGGTGATTGTCACTCCAAAAACCTTGAGGATTCCTTAACCATCACTCCTACCATTCAATAAATTTTTTGAAAGGTGAACACTTGTGTCAAGTTAGCTGAACGTAGGATTGAAGATCATCACGGAGAAGGGTGAGTAATAATCAAACTTTGAGCCTTTCATCCTTTGTTTCAATAACCGTGAACCAGATCACGATTCAAACCTTAAAAGACCTGATTGAATCAGGGCTTATTCTGAAGGCATACTACAACAAGGTCGCGTAAACTGACTCCTACAAGATTTGCTAATCTTCTTCTTGTTGTATATTTAACTAGCTAAATCAGCACTCCATTCGTCACACACTATCACATCATTCTAATAATGATTGATTTTTCAAAATCTGTATGAACATTGCATTAAAATTACCATTCGTGAACGAACTATTTTAATTGCAGATCAGTAATTGACATTGAGGAAATTCCAACAAGGAGCAATCGAAAAGGACTGAATCATTCAGTAGTCTGGATCAGAATCGAGTATACTTTGTAGCCCTATGGATCTGAGGCATTGACATCCAATGAGTACGAAATCAATCAGTCTAAGGCAATTCCTCAAGCATCAGTTGATTATGAGACAAATCATTTAAGAACCGGTTGATCAGCAGTGAATCATCTTGAGACTCTACCAATTAGGGGCAGGCCACCCAGAGATTCTGTTGATTAAGGGCAGATTGACAAGTTAAGTCGCTTCAACACTCATTCAAGGGCAATTTACCTCAAGAGTACATTGAAGCCAACTACTCCAAGAGTCGGTTAATCGAAGACAAATCTTTTCATGGTGCAAATTATGGGGCAAGCCATCTCGATGTCGTCTCATGGCAAGCTACTTTCTTTTTAAAGTGAACTCTTTCGAGGATCAAACTGGGGTAAGAGTTGAACTACACTGGGGCAATACCTTTCCTTGCTTTCAAGTTACTCAACCAAGTTCCTTTTCGTCAACAACGGTTGAGTTCAAGACGAGTGTCAGAGAATCGTGCCATCACCTCTACTACACACCAAAAACCACCATAAGCCATAACCTACTATTCCACCTCTGCTACAACACGACAATACCAAACGTACACCTGCATGCTATAACAACAAAAACTTGCTGCAAGTTTGTACATCCGCAACATAACAACAAAACCTGCGACTTGCAGCACATCCTGTACCAACAATAACTTTCAGTAGTGCAACACTCACCACCTGACCCCTTCCTCCTTAAAACAACAACAACATCTTCTTCTAAAAAAGCCTTCAAAAAATATAAAAAAACCCAACAAAATCGTTTCAAAACAGAACAAAAAGAAAAAGAGAAGGAAAAGAGAGAACCGAAGAGGAGAAACGTATCTAGGAGGAGAAAGACACATAAAAAAACATCAAAGAGACTCTCTAATATTCATCTTCAAAAAATCCTTCAAAACCCAATCACTGCTCAAACGCACAACAACCATCACCCATAAATATTCAATCAAATCACTACTCAACAAACCTTCCATAACCTCCCTATACCCATAGCCCTCTTCATTCCTCAATCAAATAATGGTTTCCACACACGACTCAGATACGAAAACGAAACAAATAGGAAAAAATATCTTCAAAGCAGAACCCACAATCATCTTTCCACAAACAATACAAAAACATATACTAAGACTTCATCTTTTCTTCACATAGACTATCTCCATCTACCTGCAACTCGTACCTCAATACCTTCAAGGCTTCTTCCTATACAACACGAGCACAGTCCGTTAACACCACCTTCTTCTACAATAAGCCTCACCATCACTGTGTTTTTTTGGCCAACCACTCTCACCATCGCCCTTCACCACGCACCTTCAAACCCGCATACACATCTTACACACATCGCCGCTCGCCACCATCATTTCGCCTCCGCTTTCATTACAACAAAGCCACTGCAAGAAAGAAACTGAGAGATCGAGAAAGAAGACGAGATGGAGAATGTGAGGGTTTGTGAAGTATGAAAGGGCGTTGCTTGTGGTTTTGTTTCGTGTTGTTTTTACTGATAGTGAGAAAGAAGCAGCCATTGCATTACAGGAGGGTTTTCTTTACCCTTTTATATTTCAAACCAAACCAGGTCGACCCATGACCCAGCAGTACAAGCCCTTTGTTTTTCTGGCCATTTTTGTTGTTGTAATTTATTGGGTTCTTAGGTCCAAGTTTTGATCATTACCACACATACTCCCTAATTATTCTTGCACCTCTTCATTTAACTTTTATTTTGTTTTGTTAATTACTATTTAAGTTAATTGTTAATTTAGATTTTTGTTAACTATTTGTTATTAATTTCTTTAAACTTTCACTTAGATTTTTATTAATTTTTTCTCTAAATCTTTTGTTAATTTATTTTTAAGATTATTATTAATTTATCCTTAAGATTATTGTTAATTATTTCTTAAATTTTTATTAATAATACTTACGATCTTTTATTAATTTCTTTTTGGTTTTTTTATTAGACATTTTAGATCTAGTTTATTTTTGTTGATTTTTGAAAAGAATTTTGTTTAAATTGTAATTTGTTAATTGATGATTATTTTTTGATTTTAGAGTGTGTGATTAATTTTTATCCTGTGTTGATCTTCATGTTTCTCTTAAATTTATTTTCATAACCTTGTTTGGATTGATGAGATCTCTTGATGCAAATCGTGCCTAGTCCCTGATATTGTTTGGATCAATTCTTGATACATTTGATGCTTCTACAAGTGGTCCTGAGCTTTTGTGCGCATTGAAGAGACAATGAACTTTCTCTGTTAGGTACTACTTGAATCTCAATTTTATCTCTCTTTCATGCCTCATTATAGGATTTTATCCATGATAGAAGCATATTGTGTACATTTGAAGTCCTACCTCAAAGTAGGCTAGGTTTGTGCATCGTAGAACTTAGATGACTACCTTGAAGTTAGAAAACTCATTTGATGCTTCCAATCTCCCTTTTGTGTCAAGTTTGAGAACATGAGGTTGTTGATATGAGTATACTTGGGTTGCCTTAACATGATGTTGATGTTTGCTTCGTATGATTTAGATCAATGCTTGCTTGTTTGATGCCTTTTGGGTTTGAACTTTCATGTATGTTCACTTTGTTGCATCTTCTTCTTCTTCATCTTTCATTTCTCTTTCTTCTCTTTTTAAGACTCGTTCAAGTCTTGATTTTGTTTTCATTTGTGATTGATTAGTATGGTGTTTACTTGTGCTTTTTCACATGATCCCTTAAGATTCCTAGTTCTACTTAATTTCTGATTAAGTTAGGAGTAGAAGATACCTTAGGCTTTCAATCCTTTGCGTGATAACAATTAGGATAGTCCCTCTTTGACCTCAAATTTAGGACCATTTTGTATGATAATATTAGGATCCACTTTCCCTTAGTGTTTTCTTTTCACCCTTTGAGTCCTTTCTTTTCTTATCTCAA